CCAATGGCCACCGATTCGGTAAATAGTTTTGCCGTACACGTCTATCGAAATAAATTTGCATAAGCATGAAAACAAATCTCGCTCTTCTCGTGTTACTTAACGAATATCATTCTGTTTTCGTAAGGTAATGCGAGCTCTCGTGTCTCAATATCTGAGTGAGAATTCTTCTAATCGAAGACCTTCTCATACCAGAGATTTGCAAACAGTAAGTTGTAGCGAAGACCAACATAGCCGCTCGATCGAAGCGTGATTGATTTTCAACGGGTGCTTCTTGGGAATGTTTTATACCATTGCGCTTCAAAAACGTTGAACGGATGCAAGTAACCGTTAAACGGATGGATTTTTTTTAAAACGGATAGTTTAACCGTTTAAACGTTTTGTCGAAAACGTTAAACGGATGAGCAAAGCGTTTAAACGGATGAAGAAAGCATTTAAATGCTTTGATGATCCGTTTTAAACGGATAATAAACGGATAGTAAACGGATTATTTCGTTAAACGGTAAAGCGTTAGTGTACGAAATCCTGTGCCCGGTCACATTTGATCATTATATCTGGCATGTTTTTATCTAGTCTCATGTATGAAAGTAAGTTTGGGTTCCCTGTGACTCTAAGTCTCTCAAAGATTTTTAACTTTTCTTTTCAAAGCAAAAAGCAAATGTACTGTTTTATTCTTTTACAAGTATAGACAACATTTAACATTTTCAATAATTTTTTTTTCAGTGCCTTCCTGTGATCCTATTTTTATTGTCACTGACAGAATTAAGTTTTTTTAGTGATGAGGTTAAAAATTGTTCTGGAAATTGAGCAGAGAGTGTTCAGCTGGAAAGTAACCAAGTGTTACCATGCATTTGAAAACTTTTTTTAATATCTCTCTCAGTCTAAAAAGACGTCAGAAACAGTAGAGAGTGAAGATGGTGAAGAAAACGAGGATGATGACGAGGAGGAGGAACATGAGGAAGAAGTAAATGGATGCAACTTTCATATCACATAAATTTGGAAACATTTTTAATTATCAACATGATAGAAATGGCATGTGTCCCACTCACTTGTTTGTATGGTATTTGCCTTTTTATATTGCTTGAAGGCTGTGTCCTACTAAATAAGGTGTTTTACATTACTGTAAATGTGAATTTAAGTGCAGTTTTTTATCTACACCTGTGCAAAATTTTGGTCAAGGGATCTGAATAAATACCGTGCTTTGCATGCTGTCTTGTAGCAATTATGTTTCACAGGTTTTTTTTTTGGTTGTTTGTTTTGCAGCCTCCAAAGAAGAAAAAGAAAGTTGATTCCACACCTAAAAAGACTGAATCTTCATCTAAAAAAACCAAAGAAACAAAACCAAAAGGAAAAGAGAAGGAGAAGAGTAAAGACAAAGACAAGGCAAAATCAAAGAAAAGTGGAGAAAAGACAAAAGCTTCTAAAAAAAGAGACCCTGTTCCTGTAAAGATAACAGCTCTACAGAAAAGTCCCTCAAAGAAGAAGACACCTAAAAAAGGCGAGTAGAAAATGTTACACTCTTTTATATAGAACTGGATCACAACGCAAGGTCTTCATGAAGTGTTGTAGCAGCCGAATAAGGTAACATAACTAGAAAATATTCTGTAGGTGTGATTGAAAATAGTTCAAGCCATAGAAATGTTGACTGAGAAGTCTGTTTATCACCAGCCAGGATAATTCCCTGGTAAGTTTAACTCAGCTGTGGGTCCTTCTTTCTCTACTTCTGGGTAAGGGAAGGGAAGGTTGAACTTAAGACTGAGTATACCTGCCGAGAGTGAGGGTACCCACCTGGATTGTGCACAGGAAGTGACAAATATTCGAGGAGGTACCATCGTCTGGCTTAGACACATATGTTATACATGTACCAACCTTGAAGGCTTGTCCAAAAAAGTGGCTTCTTTGATTTTGCAAATCGTCCATTTGCTGTAAAGGAAAATACTGTAAAGGATGGTGGTCCCTTTCTGTAAATTTGAATTAACTAAAATTTCTTAATCCTTTTTCAGAAAAACCAGCACCAGTTTATGATTCATCCTCTGATGAAGAACCATTAGCAAAAAAATCAAAGAAACAGCCACCCACTGTAAGGATTTGTTCAATGGATTGCAAATTTAATTTTTTTTTTTTTTCACCAGACAGTGGCCTGCTCCTCACTTTTGTAACCAGTCTCTTGTTTACAGTATCATACTGTTCTCTTTGTTTTTGCTGTAGGAAAGTGAACTTGAAAAGATCGTCAAAGATCTTCTAGATGGTGCAGACCTTGAAAAGGTCACAATGAAGAGTGTGTGTAAACAGGTAAGTTTTTCTCCTTCAAGAAAACTATACAGTTGCCATTTTAAGAAAGCGAAGGGTAAAGAAAGTACTCAGTAATGTTCCAAAGGAAGTGATCTTGTTTTCAAGAACTGTCTGGGGTATACAGTTGTTAATTTTTCTCAGTAACTTTTCTTTGGTAAAGCACCTCATGCTACTTTGCATAAAAAAATAATAAATTAATTTTTTAATTGTTCCTCTGTTTACAAAAATGAAAAATTGGCTAATAAATAAGTCAAGTCTAACAAGTCATGGAATCTTGCAATGTTATTATTCAGTCATGGACAAGTTATGGGATTCAAGTGTAATTCTTGGAAAATTATTGAAAATGGATATTTTGGTTGAAGAAGAAAAGAAGAGGGAGATGCTTGAAATGTTTCACTTCAAGTGCAGCTCATGAAGAATATTAAAAAGTGCTAGATCATACCATGAAAATTGAGGAAAAATTTTTAAGATCACAACAATGGTAACCAAAAGTTCAAAATGTCTTCCATTTCTTTCTTCAGGTGTATGATAAGTTTCCTGAGCATGATCTCACATCTAGGAAGGACTTTATCAAGGAAACAGTCAGAAAGGTAAGTGGTAACTTTATCTGAGAATAACAAAGTTTAGTGCTAAGTTTCAGGAATCTCTACACTCCATGTCAGAGGGTAGGCAACCAATGAAACTTCTTTAATTTATTGTGGTGATCAAGCATCAGCATTCAGGAATGTCCATCTGACTGGACAAAACATTCTGTATCCCATTCCCTTTTGATGTGCTCTCTCTCTTTCTGTTTCTTAGCTATTACTTCATAAACAATTTTGACACTTAGTAATTCTGCTGTTAAGAGTTTTCTTTTTTCATTTTGTTTGTAGCAGTGATTGTTATAGAGATTGAGATTGCCAAATTATTCCAGAGATAAGAAGTCACTGTTTTTTTTTTTTTCTTTTTTGACATTTTTGTATTCTAAAATTTCCTCAAAAAAAAGAAAAATCACAGTTCATTTTTCTGTATTTGTTTCAGGTCATATCATGAAATCAACAACATGAACACAAGAAAACTTTTTAGCTTCTTTCAAGTCCTATTCGTATACACTTTGTTTTTAAACGTCTTTTGTTTTTAAACGTCTTTTGTTTTTAAACGTCTTTTGTTTTTAAACGTCTTTTGTTTTTAAACGTCTTTTGTTTTTAAACGTCTTTTGTTTTGTGAAAGTTTTCATACCTAATATATTACTTTGTAGTAAAAACTCTTCAGTTTTAAAAAGATCTTATTGGGGCATTTTACTTCAATTTTTTAAGTTAACATGTATGCATGCAAACAGAGTTATAATAACTCAATAGGAAGAAAAAAACAATATGGGTCTGTTACTCATTTTAATCATAAGTTAGTCAACAAGGCTGCAGAGAAGTTTTCTTTATGGTTTGGAAAAAGATAGAGAAACATTCTCTCTGATCTTCTGTCTGTCATTGCTTTACATCTTCAGTAAATTTTACATTTGTATCAGTATGATTCCCTTGATAATGTAGACTGGTTATCTTGGTGAGAGTGGTCCTGCAAACAGGGGCAGGGGTTTCCAAAACTCTGATTTAGAAAACACAGACATGCCAAAGCCTTCATAAGCTAGGGAATATTTCAAGACAGGCAATTGTTGACCATGTCTTTTGAGTGGAAACATGCAATCCTACATTTGCATGAATTTTGTTGTCAGAAAAGTACTGAAAAAGCCCACAGGTCTGATGTGGGGGGGGGGGAGGGGGTATTTTAGACCCCTCTATTTCCCTCCCAGAATATGCCCCTGTTGATGAGAGTGACTGAGGTTTCGTAAACTTGAGTGCTAGTCAACATCAGAGTCAAGTCTCCTTACAATATCACCCCCCCCCCTGAATCAAGAATAAAGGAAATGATGGTCAACTTAAGGAACTTGATTGTTAAGAAAATTCTCCTTGTTAGTGTGTTAAGAAATGTATAGAGGACAGTATGGAGAATATGCATACTGATGTTAGTAAGGGTGTAAAGAGTTAGCAAAGCATCCTTTTCAGGACCACTCCCACTTAGTTGATCAGGCTACTCTGAATTGTAACCATTATGTGTAAAAATTAGGCATTGTCCTCAGTTACTAGGATGGAGTGCACTGATGATTGATATTTGTAGAACTGTCCAGTTTGTCTTAGTACTGTCAGCAAATGTAAATGTTATCTCAGCTGATACCAGTAGATGTCATGTCCATGAGTTATTGCATTCCCTCTACAACAAAAACACTTCATGAACACAACATACATGTCCTTGAAACTATTTCAGTTGTATGAGATTGAGTTAAATCATCTTGACAGTGACTGGAAACTTCAGATCCCAATCAATATTGATGTGGACATTTAAGTTCCTTGTTGAGAACAAAAGAAACCTGAAAAATTTCAATCCATCAACCTTACACCCACAGGATCATATATAAACTGTAGTTAGTTTTGGAGTTAATTATTAGATTACCCATATATGGGTCTTTGCATGCCTGGTGATATCTACCCATGCAAATTGTCTAATTGGCCACCACCCACCCCCTCTAAGTATTGCAGAGGATAACTTGACAAGCTAACAGAATATTTACATTGGAGGCCAGCCATGCAATGCCTGGTTTTCAACATGTAGTCTGCATATTAGGATTCTTTTTGAAAATCTTGATAGCTATGAGTATAATTAGTTGACATGACCTTTGTATACAGTGTACAGTCATGTCCTTGAATCATATTACCACTGAAGTGTTATCCATGTATTGAGTGTCAATAAATCTCAATCTTAAAGTAGATGTGCTGTCAGCTGAATGTTTATAGGGACCCAATGTTAATTTTCCTGCCCATCTCCACTTCAATGTTGTCAATTTAAATAGATTTGGTTGAGTAACAGATCACAGATGGCATCAAAATGTGATGAGTAAAAAAGTAGCACACAAGGCACAGCCAAGTGTGTCACTGGATGTGTTATTTCCTCATTTTGACCTCCGTAATCTACTGCTGTACAAACCCACAGCAACATGGAATCCATTTGTTTTATAAATTATGATAAAAAAAGCAAACATCATGTTACTGGTTATGATCAAGTTGTCGATGCTTCTGATTTCCATAGGACAACTAAAAGAACCAATCAAGACGCGAGTATAATTCAGCTTCTCATTTAACCCTCTAACTCCCAGAAGTGATCGACATGTAACTATAAAACCCAAACAACATTCTGCAAACAGGTAATGAGAATACTCAAACTTATCAGGCAGGAGTTATCTTGATCTAACACTAAATTCTCAACTTGTTTACAGGGAAACTTGTAGTAGCTAGAGGGGGAATTAACAATCAGATCTTGGGGGTTAACCCTTTCACTGGGTGCCAAGATCTCATTAGTAATTCTCCTTACTGTCTGCCATACAATTCTTTTCATGTAAATTTGGAGAGTTTGGTATTGGATCAACTAAAAATCCCCTTGTTGATATTTTTTTGTATTCTTAACACTTTCCTATTAAGCAAGCGCGAGGGCCGTACTGGGAGAATATCGGCCCAAGGTCTTGACAGTATGGACTGAGCACAGCTCGGTCCGTACAAAAAAGAGTGAGGGCCGATATTCTTCCAGTACGGTCCCAAGCAAGCTTGGTTAATAAGAGATTTATTATACGACTGAAGTTCAAAGGGACACAAGTGCGAGACCATTC